AATAAATAATAAATTCCAATTATTCCATTTAGCCATTTGTGAAAGTTTGTACAAATTAACTTCATGTGCTTTAGTTTTTTATCTGTAAAAATAATGAGATGAATAGTCCTAGAAGGTAGAAATTGTTCAACAAATGCAGACTACTATTATTATTAGTGCCATGAAATAATAATTATTAAAATCCAATGATGAATAAAATAAATGGAATTACTGCAGTAGAGAAGACCTGCTCTGTTTTTCAACTGAAATTGAGTCCTTCATTAACACCCATGTGAAAAGTTTGCTCTTTCTATCCAAAAGACTACAGTCCAGACAACTTTTGTCTACTTTTCAAAGAAACAAAAAATTTTGACAAAAATCTCTAAAAAAATAAAGTTAGAATGTGCGTATAATCACTTCCTGATTTGCTAATTTAATAAGCCTATTAAAAAAAAAAAAAAGCAGAGCATGCCTGTAATCCCAGCAATTTGGGAAGCAGAGCGAGAGGATTGTCTGAGCGCAGGAGTTCAAGACCAGCCTAGGCAACTCGGTGAGACCTCGTCTCTACAATAAATCAAAAAATTAGCTGAGCATGGTGATGAACACCCGTAGTTCCAGCTACTTAGAAGGCTGAGGAAAAAGGATTGCCTGAACTCAGCAGGTTGAGGCTGTGGTAGCCATGAGCAATGCCACTGCACTCCAGCCCAGGTGACAGAGTGAGATTCCAATTCAAAAAGAATAAAGAAAAGAGGTTAGTTATACATGACTTTCTCTTAGAGCATGCTTACTGGCTCCTTTCAACATTTTTTCCCTTTAATATGACAAATTATCTTATATTTTTTTACTCTTTGTAACCAATAGTGTGCATTCAAATAACAACTTTTTTCTATTTAAAGAGTGTTCTAGAATTTCCCCTCTTGTTTCTTGTAGACTATCCAAATCCTGTGTTGCCTGACAATTTCAAGTATGAAGGCCATTTTGGTTTCTGCTGCCTACTCCTCCCATTTCAACCCAGTAGTTTCCACCATTTTGAAGACCAAGTACCCATTTGTAGGAGCTCTGTGTGTGAGTAGAGTGGGGTCTCTAAGAAGTGACATGCTTTACAAAATGCTAACTGGGTGATTGGTCATAGAGTGACTCAGTCTTCAAGAGGCAGGGAGACAGAAGAAGACCACCAAGACCTTGATCTTCCCTCTGTCATTTCCCCTCTTCATATTTTTCCTATTCAAGAGCAGCAGCAGAGGGGCTTAATCTGTCCTCCTGCCTGAGCATCCCAGGGAGGGGCTGGCTGAGGCAGGTGGCAAGAGGAGAAGTTAATATAATGGATATGCCAGTAAAGCATTCTTTACCTGTCATTATAGAACGCCTCTGAAAAAGTGGAAGATTTTTCATACCCGTCTTTGGGGCTTTGATGAGGCCATTTGGATTCTTCCATTCTGAAAATAATTCACTTTCAGGAAGATAACGAGAAGGTCATTTTCAGGCAATAAAATGAGCACCACTGACCGATGCCATGGGTTTTCAGAGATTTGCATTAGCAATGGGAAGATCCGTGGGAAGATCCGTGAGTGGCATGCTTGTTACATATTCAGAAGAAATCCTAAGTACTTGAGAAACATTTTTTGTTGCCTTCCATCAAATGGCTCGTGAAGAAGGATACAGTGGATCTCTTTTTCAAAAAGTGATCAGAGCAGACTCATGTGTTCCACAAAGGGTTGTTTCTTCTCCATGTAGTATCCAGTACAAAGAGAAAAAAGGCACACATTCTGGAAGATAAATGATACCAAGGCACTACTTCTGTGTAGACACAAACAGTGCAGTCATGCAAGGAGGCCCTGCTCCTGCCCCAAATCACAGTGTGTCCTTGGCTTCTTTATACAAACAGTGGTTGTGGGCCCCACATTTCCTTAGGGAAGCTAGCACTAGCTCGTGCTTAATCCTCTTTATCTGTGACACCCAAGCCACAAGCTTAACCAACCTTTCAGTTTCTCAGAATATCCTCCCTCTACCAGCTGGGTCCTTATTACCACTGGCATCAAATACTGACTTTTGGGGCTTTATGATAAAGACTTCACATCTGACCCCGTCCTTCCCCCCCGCGTCCCTCAACTCCCAGTCTGACTCAAGCCATCTACACCAATAGCTTCAAGATCATGTGTTTCTGCACCTTGTCACATCAGAGCCTCTTTCCTGAGTACTTCTGCTGGCTGTTCTCATCTCTCTATCCATTCAAGTCATTGGTCTGTGTCAACCTCCTCTCTTTCAACTTTGTAATTTAGTAACACTTTTCTCTTTTCCATACATACCTTCGTTTCAGGCCTCCTTAACTCCTAGTGATTTACACTAAAATAAATCTAGTCCCTCTGTGCATCTTCCTAGTCTTTAAAGCAAATGTAAATATCCTTACCTCAAGTAGGAATCAGGTCTCTCTATCAATATTGGCCCACACATTCCTGCAGTGTTGCCTCCCTAAAAGTTTTTCCAAATCATTTTTCTAATGGAGTGATTGACAGTACCATGGTGGCCACATTTCCACAGGTAAACTGAACTGACAATTTCTCTCTTTTCTGAGCAGTTTGCCATTTCTGGATTCCTCTCAATTACCACTGGAAAGAAATCAACTAAGCTCTTTGTAAGTATGAGGATCATCAAATCTCAGATGGATGGAATGGAAGAAACATCAGAGCTAATTATTCTAATAATTTTTGCAGTTTAGGGAAATGAAGCTCAGAACAGATTAGGGAGCTTAAGTTCTCCTGGCTGGCTTACTGGCAGACCTAGAAGTAGAGCCCAAATTTCCTGTCTTTTAGATCAGTGCTCTTTTTCCTACAAAATGGCACTCCTGGATCATATTTCAAGCTTGGAAGAGGTACCATGGGATCTTTACAACTTTCTACCTACAATAGGATGGCCAGCCGCCCCAGATAGAACCTACAGATCATTTCTCAGGAAAAACTTACTTCCTAATGATGTTCTTTCTGATGTCCACTGTCCCTCTTCCTGGAGTTGGAAACTCACACTAAGTCTAGCCCTTCAGTATCAGGGTAGCCAACTGTCTTGTTTTTCCAGAACTGTCTGGTTTTCCTAGAGCCCTAAAACCCCATATCCTGGGAAGCCCCTTGGCCCCCAGGCAAACCAAGATGGTAGGTCATCCTACTCAGTAGCCATACTAACGAGCTGAAAAGGAGTTCATAATATATTTTAACATTTCTACTCTTTGAGCAACTGAAATAAACCTCATCCAGTCAAATATCAGGGGAGATACTCATTCCCTTTCCCCTCTCCTACCCAGAAGAGGATGTTGGCATCTGTTTCTGGACTGGAGGAGACTATTCCCATCCTTGATAACAAGCCCCACCCCCCAAAAAAAATCAGCTGAAATAAGGTGAGGGAGAATGAGGGGCAGCACATTTGAGGACTGTCTGTAGAGGTTTATAATGAGTACATGGAATCAGGGTGTGGTGGGGCAGGGGTCTACAATGTCAGCAGTGACAGAGCACCAAACACACAGATGGTACTGTTCAGGCCACTGCCAACATCTTCCTTGACTTCCCCAAAAGCCATTGAGTGATCCTATTGCCCTAAGTGTTCTCTCCTGGGAAATGCAATCTCTTACATAAAAAAACAGCTCCAGAGAAAAGGCAGAAGCAGACTGGAGAAGCTGGAATACCTCTCTGTAAGAGGATCAAGCCTATGAGAACCACGTTCAACATACCAGCTCCTAAGTCCTATTTCACATTTGAGGGAAGAGGGGTCTTTCGGGGGATGGTGATTCGTTTGCAAAGACACCAATGTTCCTGGCTCTGTGCCAGGCTTCCAGCACATGCTCCTCTTTGTTCAAACATCACTGGAGGGCACTGTGTGTGGGTGGATGGCTGTCCTGCCCTCGCCCTCTTCTGTCCCAGCCCTGTGGCTACATGGCTTTGTGTGTTGAGTCCCTGAAGGAAGAGCAGCCTGACTGGGCAGTGCCCGCAGCTTCCACACAGGCCTGGAGCACACATGCTGTCTTGTGTCCCACATGTGGAGCCCACGTTGATATCAGGTCATCCCGAGCTTAGCTATCCCTTTCTGTGTATTCTGTGTATTAGGAAGCTTCTTCCAAGATCAGCATGTTCATCTTTCACATTTTATAAATGAGAAAACTGAAGACCAGAGTAGGAAGAACTTGTTCAAGCACACAGACGAGTCAGCAGGAGATCCGGGATGGGAGTTCAGGTTTCCTGATTCCAAGTCCAGAGTTCTGACCCCATCTCATGCTGTGAATTATTTGTTTGTTGAGTCGGGGCCTGACTCTTACCCAGGCGGGAGTGAAGTGGCGTGATCCTGGCTCACTGCAGTCTCAATCTCCTGAACTCAAGCATCCTCCCTGCTCAGTCTCCCTCCTGAGTACCTGGGACAACAGGCATGTGCCACCACACCCAGCTAATTTTTTTTTTTTGGTAGAGATGGGGTCTTACTATGTTGCCCAGGCTGGTCTTGAACTCCTGGGCTCCAGTGATCCTCCCACCTTGGCCTCCCAAAGTGTGGGGACTACAGACATGAGCCACCATTCCCAGCCTGTGAACTCTTCAAAATTTGTCTAGTCCTGGGTTTTAGACAGCGCTTCAATCATCGGGAGCATATACTGGCCTCAAATACCCTCTGTGTGTCCTCATCCGTGGCTAGCCAGGCCTGCGTCTTCTTGAATCAGGATAAGGTTTTGCCCTAAGTTACCTTTGTAGGTGTGTGGCAGGGGAGAGGGAAAAATTGCTATGGAGAGGAACAAAAGCTGCTTCCTCCCACCACCCTTCCAAGGTTTGTGGGGAAAGTGGCTACATCCTGATAATTGCTCCATTTGTGAGTGGGTAGAGAGAGAACCACAGGTCCTAAGCCCACATACCATGCCACTTGGGGAAACTGAATATATATATTCGCCAGACTGAACGAGCACTGACTGTCCATTGAAGGTCAGTTGCTTGCCAGTTAAAGGCACATGCTACATTCCAGTAGGTCTGCTCACCCTGTAGGTAGGCATTCCAACTTCTCCAGTTTGCTTCCACCTTTTCTCTGGAGTTGCTCCTTTATGTAAAGCAAAGCCATAGTTGGGGTTTCCCAGAGGGGATCAAAGGCCATGTTCTGGAAGCTCTTAAGACAATAGAATGAGTCTAAGGCTGCTGAGAAAGTCAAGGGAAATATTGGCAGTACCCTTAGCAATATTGTCTCTATCCTGAGTACTACAGACAAGTCAAGGGGCAAGAACCCTTATTTCTAAGGAGGAATTACTTATGCGTTCTTTTATTCAACAAGTACTTGTTAATGATATCACATGGTAAACTAAAGAGTAAGGAAGGATACAAAGAGGAATAAAACACTGTTTGTGCCCAGTAGGGAGTACACAGATTAGAGGAGGAAACAGACTCAAGGAAGCGCCATCACAGTACAATGGACAGAGGGACAAAAATATCATATACTCATTGTGTGATGAGCGTCCATGGTGGAATTTCTCTTCCAGGCCCTGAGCAGCCTGATCTCAAGTGCAGTGAGTTCTGTGGCTGCTGGAACAGGCATCTTCCTCCTCAATGACAATGTGGTGGTCCTGTGGACTGCCTTTCAACGCTGTGACTCAGAAAAGGAGTATCTATCCTCTCTGCCTTATTCGGAGTACTATTACCCAATGTATGACATCAAGGATTGTGTCCTGACCAGTGTCAGTCTAACAGTAAGTGGTTTCAGACTGAATATCTTGTCATGGTAATCTCTGTGGCTTCCCTTTGCATAATCTTTGCTTTCTCAGCAGTCTCTTGCCTTGTGTGGTTCAAATGCCTAAAGATAGAAAAAAAGAAAGGAGAAAAGAAAATGGAGGTTAGAAAAGACCTGTTAGACTGCATGATTTGCAGGATATATTGTATAAAGTCAAAAAAGGAAATTAATGGCAGTGTGGAGTTTATCCCTTCAGTGTTTTTTCTTAATTAGAAAACAGGTTTAACTCTCAAAGCACCCGCTTTGTTCAACAGTCATTTTTTCTCTTCCTTAATGCAGGCAGAAATATTCATTTGAATTGGAGATTCTTTTGGCTTCCTCTCCAGGGCTTGGAAGTCCCTACCCCTTAGAGAAGCCCGTCTTCTGATCATCAGTGAATTAGAATGGAGGCAGAAGCCCCCGTGTTTAATTTCCTCAAGTGCATGCTGGTGTATGCTATATTAAGATAGGCACAGAACTTGAACTTTAAGCCCAAATACCTAATTATCAGACTTTAGCCCAGGAGGGCTGGCAAAGAGTGGGTGAGGGGAGGTGACCCAGCATGGATCTGCTCCTAGCAGAAATGCCAGCATCTCTGGACAGCTTTTCTTGCCACCTTTCTTCCAGTTTTGACAGTAACCACCTGTTACTGGTGACAAGTCTGGCTTAGTCAATACTCTGAATTTAAGATTATGGTGTTAAAACCATAAGCCCATGGCCTTTTAGGGAAAAAGACTTCTTCCTTTGTGATGTCTCCTAGTAGGAGCAAGGGAATCCTAGGCAATCTCTCTCATTCTTGTGTATTCATCTGTCTCACGAATCTCAGAAAAAGTGTGCAAGTTTTTGCGCTCACCACCTCTTGTGAGTCTGCTCATGTGATTCAGAGGTTATCAAAAGCAAGCCCTCAGCAGGGCTCGGTGGCTCAGCCTGTAATCCCACACCTTTGGGAGGTTGAGGTGAGTAGATTGCCTGAACCTGTGGGTTCAAGACCCGCCTGGGAAACTTGGCGAGACCTCATCTCTACAATAAATCAAAAATTAGCCAGGCGTGGCAGCGCGCACCTGTAGTTCCAGTTACTTGGAAGGCTGAGGCGGAAGGATCGTTGGCGCCCAGCAGGCGAGGCTGCAGTGGCCAGGAGCGGCCACTGGACTCCAGTCTGGGCGACAGAGTGAGACTCCAACTAAAAAAAAAAAAAAAAAAAAAAGCAAGTCCTCTGATCCAGGAGCTTCAGGGTGTGGAAGAGCACAGAGACCCCTAAGGGAGGAAGGAAGCCTAGGAGGCAGTAGAGTCCTAATACAGGACAGACATCAGGTAAAGCAATGAGGTCTCTTCTCCCCACTGGAATATTGGAGGTTTAATTTAATGCAAACTAGTTTCATTACATTAAACTGCCTCTCACTCTCAGACAACTAGAGTCCAAAAGAACTTCCTGCCACATTAGACAAGTTACAACATGGCAGACTTAGCAGTCTCCAAAGGCCCTCTCTTTCTTAATTGACACAGCAATAACCTGGACAAAAGTAGCACATTTTTTAAAAATCAAAAATACATACATAAGGTTGGTAGAAGGAAGGAAAGAAGGGTGGAAGGGAGAACAAAATCTAGGAAGAAAGATGCCTTAGGTTCTAGAAACTAAGAAGGATCCTGAATTTAAATCATCAAACAAAGCCTAAGGCCAAAAAACTGGGGATGTCTCATGGGAACATTGGTGTTAGAGGCTACGATCATGAAGTTTTAACACCCATGAAGGGATTTGACATCCATCAGGCCCATAGAACTCACATCGAGTGTCCTGCAAAACTGTTAGAAGCTTGAGTAACTACTCAAATTCTAAAAGTAAGACAAAAGCTCTTCCTAACAACCCAAGAAATTTCAAGAAACCTTGCCATCAGCTCACTGAGTCTTGTGCAGGTATGGTGTTTCAATTCATACAGCACATAAAATGAGGACATGCAAATAAAGGGATTAACTTAAAAACTGCTATTAGATCTGCAAAACTCTTAAGGTTCTAGGAGAATCAAGCCTGAAACTACTAAGGAGACATTTATAAGTCCATCTTATAATATACCCACATATTTTTTAAAAAAAAACCCACTACCACCACCATCTACACACTGAAACTATCTAATAATAAAAAATATGAAAATCATAACCAAAAGGAAGCAGCAGCAGATGGGAAAACATGAAAGTTAGCAGCCCAAGAATTGGATTCATATAATAATTTGAATAAGGCTATCACGAAAATATATTTTAAATTACTAGCAATAGAAAAGTAATTAAAATCAAAATGAAAGTACAGAGCAGTTAAAAAAAGACAAGTGGATTTGAAAAATAGTCAAATAGCATAAGTGGAAATGAAAACCATAGTCTTTGAAATTAAAAACTGAGCAGTTACACAACAGATTCGATCTATTTGAAGAAACAGAGTGAAACAAAATTTAGGTCTGATTAAGTCACACAATGCAACATACTAAGATAAAAATCTGGAAACTATTAAGGGGCTGAAAGACATGGAGGACACAGGACAGTGAAAAGGTTCAACACACTTCTAACACGAGTTCCAATAAGAGTGGATGGAAAGGAGTGTGCAAAAATAAACCACCGAGAACTTTTCAGAATTAGAGACATGAGATTTTAGACTGAAGGAATGCACTGAGACCACTGCAGGATACATGAAATCAAATACACACCTAGAAATATCACCACAATAGTAAAAAGCACAAGAGAGAGAAAGAAATAATAAAAACAACCAGAGATAAATGCAGATTACTCTCATCTATCACT